ATATTTTTCTCTTCTGCTCTGTAGCAAAATCACCAGGACAGCCAATACAAGTGGTTTATGTACCATCCCATCTCTATCACATGGTGTTTGAACTTTTCAAGGTTTGTAAAATAGTATTGCATAACCTTTTCCAGTCCTTTCCTGAGGTTAGGAGTCTTCTCTGAAAGTCAAGTGTTCCACTGGGTTTTTCCAGTTTCATTAAAAGATGCCATTTCGTGCCAATATTACGTCCTGTTGCAGGAGACCAGGCTTTTGCCAATAGGAGCAGGCACCTCCCCGTAGTAGTGAGCCCAGACTTTGGAGTCAGAAGATGTGGGTTTGAATCCTAGTTCTGTTACTGTGACCTTGGGCAAGTTACTCAACCTCTCTGAGCCTCAGTTTCTCCTTCTGTAAAACAAGGGTAATACTATTCAGGATTATTTTGTTTTATTTTTTAAGAGGCAGGATCTCACTCTGTCACCAGGCTGGAGTGCAGTGCTGTGATCATAGTTCACTGTACCCTCAGATTCCTGGGTTCAAATGATCCCACTTACCCTCCAGAATAGGTGGGACTACAGGCAGTCGCCATGGTGCCTGGCTAGTTTTTTATTGTTTTTGTGAAGATGAGGTCTCACTATGTTGCTCAGCCTGGTCTCCCCAGGAGTGTATATGACGACTAGGATTAACATGCTAAGTTCCCAATACAGTGGCAGCAGATTGTATGTGCTCTAGAAAGTTATACTTTTTTATAAAACAAAGTATTTGGAAGAGTGATTTTTAGCGTTCTACCCTCAGAGGACCAAAGTGCCAGTGATAAGCCTATTTATTATTTTTTTCCTCTGAGAAGGTCATTTATATTGACTTATAGGGCTTCTGCTGTTATATTTACCTTTTACAGTATTACAACAAATTTTGAAAAGTAAATAAAATTATGTGGCCTTCTCTTCTTGGTTCTTCTTGGAGTCAGTTAAAGCTGGGTCAAAAGGGGTCAAATTATGCTGGTAATATTGACAGCACCTTTCCTCCCCAGTGACACTTGCGGGGTGACAAATGAGTGGAGAGTGGCGTGGGTCCCTCTGGCTAATGACTCTGTTCATCAGAGCCTGTGGGCTCTCTTACTTCAGGGACCATATCTTCAGCCAGCAGCAAACTGGAAGGGAGAAGAGGTGGTGTTTGTTCTGATAGTGTAAGAGAAAAATACTCTAAAACGCAGGGAAACAGACTGAAAAATCTTAGAACAGCACTAGAATGCTCTTTTGTGCTAAGACAGCAAGAATCTATCAAATACTTTCCAAAAAATATCTTT